CGCTGCTTCACTAGTTTTGCTTGCAAGTTTCACCGTGGTGGAAACCTGTGAACTCTTGTGAAGCTGGAGCAAGCTCATCGAGCCAGCATGGCAAAACCTGTCAACTCTTGCACGCCCATGTAATAGCTCTCTAGTTGGCTCGACGCGTCATGGGCAAGTAGCAGAGGCGAAACGCTCCTCCCGCCGAGACAGTCTGCTGTTCCTTAATTAACAGGCTTGTTGTTCGTTGGGATCATTTCCCATCACAAGGCCGTGAGCTAGCAGTTTAGTCAGGCACTTTCATTCCTACTGTACGGTTGCTTTCAGGAATCTTTCATTTACGTCCATGGTACCGCGCTATGTACCTGTGGAGGGGCAGTCTGCAGTTTTTGGCATGTTAGGGTATCTTGCAATTTTTCAGAGATGGAAGAAGGCTAGGTAGTAAACTTCTAATGGACGAAAAACCGGAATCGCAAGTTGCTCAAACACACAAACCCTTCCCCTATAAAATTGCAGCTATGCCCTTATCAGAAACATTGCCCCTCGAAGGTTTTAATAAATCTCAATACCGTGTTACACTTCAGATAGAAGAAGAAAACCCAGGGCATTTCGACGACCGGGAGCAGGGGGGGGGCATTTTGCATATTTGCCACTTCCCATCAACTGTCTGCTCTTCTGAAGAGCCATTTCGTGATCTAACAAGGGTTGACAGGTTTAATTTGATGGGTCGATGCACTTGCTCCACCTTCACAAGAATCCACAGATTTAACAGAGACCTGTGAACCGGAGCTAATGAAGCAGCCAAATTGCAAAATGCTTCGACCCGTCGCCGAATGCGCCGAAAGTGCGAGTTGCTGCTGCGCATAATAAGAACTCGAACATAACATAATTAATCCCCCATGCCACGTGACTGCTTGTTTCCCTAGAAAAGTTCAACGAAGAGCTCATGTCCTCGGTGTAGGGGTATTTGGCATTTAGAGGACGCGCTGGCAAAATAAGAATTACCGCTGTGTAGCTAACGATTTCGCTCCTCCGAGTGGTGAACAGTTTTAGATACGCGTATTCGGCAACGTTCGACTTGGTGGGGGCATTTTGCTGGCTACTGTCAATCCTTGCCGCTGAATCATGTCGAAACTCCTGTTAAGCCATGTAATAGCATGAACGTCTTTCCACTTGTCCCACGCTGCGAGGTGAACGTTGACAGGAATAAGCAAAAACGATCAGCGAAAGTGCGAAATCCCCCTCCCCCAACCTCGCCCGAACCGAACAGCGCCGGTTATTGGGATGACGATAACCTTTAAATGCCCCTTCCCAAACTTATTAGTGTTGGAAGTTACGACATTATTTCACCAACAGTGTTGAAAAGAACCGCAAGTTGAGGAAATTCTAAAAAAATTCACTAACCGAGGGTCTTCGAATTCAACGAATGCGAAGAGTGGTCCGCGAGTTCCTTTCATGTCGACGAAACGAATCTTCCCATATTTCGCAAAGATGTCCTCAAGGTCTTTCTCACGGCAATCCGGAGGCAGATTACCCACATAGACTCGTGTTTCGTCACGTCCCATCTTAAATGTGTATGGTTAAAGTAAGAAATTACATAGAAAACATGAGGCAGTCGGGAACCGGGGGGAGAGCATTTTGTACTTTTGCTACTTCTCACATGGACGTGTCGGCCGCAAATTCTCGAAAGCTATTTCGATGACCACGTATATGAGTTGGAGGTTTATCAGGAAAAACTAACCCCCTGCTATAGGAAGAATATAACGAACTTAGTCCATCTTCACAAGAGTTCACAGGATTCACCAGAGTAGGACTTGTAAACCGAAAGTGTGATGTAACGAAAGTGCAAAATGCTACCCCACCCCCGTCGTCGAACTGCCTTGAGAACGTAACACAACTCCCGAGAGAGGAAACCATGCATTGATAGAAATGCTGATAGATGAAGAGAAGGCTGCGGCAAGGACGATCAGCGCAGTAAACATTCAATAAAACCAAAAAGTGGCGGCAAACGCAGCGCTCAATCTGGTCGCGTTGCGACAATGACGGCCCCGTCTTGCCAGCAGTTGGCCTGCCAATTGATCGCCATTGCGATGTTTGGGTCACCCGCGACCTGATGAGCAGAGCAGAGACCTTCGAGCAAAGTTTACACCCAGTCGTGGGTCGCGCACAGATCACAGATAGAGAGCTTGGGATTACAGTGCTAATCGTTCTCCACCACTGTAACCCCCTCCCCTGAGCCGTCACTTCATGGGAAATAATGCGCAAAAAAGTCAAGCTATCCACCAAAAGCAAACAGTTCGGGGTGGAGGATGGTGGGACTTTTTGCACTATTGCCCCTTCCCATCAACGTGTCGAGCCATCTAGAGAGCTAGTTCATTAGCTTACAAGAGTAGACATGATGACCATCGTGGCTCGATGAACTTGCTCCAGCTTCACAAGAGTTTGCAGGTTCACCACAGTGAATCTTGTAAACTGGACCTAGTGGAGCATGAAGATGCAACATGTCCCCTCGTCGCCGCACTGAGCCAGCAAATATCATTAGGCGCCTGTTAGAATGTCTTCAGCTTTCCAATCGTATTTCGTCAACCCTGAGAATCAGGCCAAGGCAAGTCCCAGGGTTGACGAAAAAAAAAACTGAACCGTATGATACCAGGCGAGGCGGACCATTGTTGTAGAAACACAGCGGGTCGAGCGGGAGGGTCGTATTCGACCGCCGGTGAAGGGTGGGGTCGTAATTCGCCGTAAAAACTTTTTTGATTGCTAGTTTTTCTCGTCTCGCGTAACATGCCTCCCGCTAGTTTTCTGAGGAAAAGCTGGAAAATTTCCTGGAAAATTGCGAAAAGTGGTAGGAAGTTGGTAGAGTTTGGCAATTGGTGAGAAAAGGGGTCTTAGTGGAGGAAGGAATTTGGGCAGTCATATTTAGCAAAGATTTTACACATGTGATGGTGTTAGGGA